GATAGCTTATGCCTGAAGGTTTAATTCAATTTTGTCATAATAAAGTTATTTCTGTACAGTACAAATTTCAATAAGAAAGTCATTTCAATAAGTTACTTAACCTTTCTGTATCTTAGTTTCCTCTCTGTAAAATAAGCATTATCATAGTACTTTACAGTACCTATCCCAAAGAGTTGGTATAAAGATTGAGTGAGTAATATATGTAATACCCTTACAAGAGTATTTGTCAGACAATAATGTCAGTCTATTATTTTCTACATAATAGTATGTAGCTGTTACCTGAACAAGTAAATTTTACATAGGTATTTATATAAAATGCAATTCTCATTATTTAGAAGGCATGAGTACTTAATTAAGTAACTGAAGCTCATTTGGACAAACTGTTGATTGTGTGGGTATTCTTGACAAAGTCTTATACCTCCTACACCTGCCAAGAAATAGAAGTTAACAATAACTGTTTCTGCTACAAATAAGATTTTTTCATAATAGTAGTAAAAGAGAACTTAAAGTATTAAGTCAACCACTATGTTATATATAATGATATTATTATCTGGAAAATATTAAATATATAATCATAAAATTATTTATGTATATATGTATACAAATGTCTATCTATATTCATATACATTGATCTCTATCTCTATCTCCATCCCTATCTCTATGTTTATGTCTACCTGTGATGTTATCAAGTGAATAACTGGCATGAAAGACATTAAGAAAGAGAGTGCCTTAAAAATAAAGACAAGTAAAAGAGAAATAGAATTTGTTCTGTTTCTTTTAATCTATGCTTTACTTTCTTTCATTGTGGCCTGGACTTCAGGATATCAATGCTCTCTTTGCATGCAAGTATTAGCATGGAGGTTGTATGGGTTCTGAATTTATTTTATTTTCTCTGTATTCTTTTAAAAGTTCTCCTGTCAAATTTAGAACTTTGTGATACCATGAAAAGACAGCCATGAAGGTAGCTAGCCAGTTTCTTCACAGCAATATTGTTTTCACATGGCATTGTTTTGAATCCAAGGGAAATTAATAAAAGAAATTTTCTTCTTTTTTTAGTTAGTATCTTTGATGAGAACTTTCATTAATCACCGTGTCTAGAGAAAAGCTGGTCTCTTTCCATAAACTTGAATAAATCCTGGTGTGTAGCGTACTGGTAATGGTGCTAAGGATTATGTTTTTGGAACGTGTTATAGGGCATTAGAGATATGAAAGTGAAACAAATCATTCCTCAGCAGCCATAGGCTTTTTCCCTAATAGAGCTTTAAAAAATAATAAATAACCTAAGTATGCTAATTTCTACTAAACTCTCTGAGGTCCAACTTTCATATTTAATCACCACAGGTGATAATATCACAGACAGAGTCAGTTAGAATATTCCAACATCAGTTTGATCAGCTAGCAGCATACCAAATAGAACTTATTGCTCCCAAACTAGGGACCTGCTAATATGTGGTAATGTCATTTATAAAGGCGCTCCTTCAGAGACTTCAGAAGTAAATGCAATTCTGATTAGAAAAGATTAACTTTGGGTTAATTTTATCAACCCAAAGTTGGGTTGATATAATTAACAATTGTGAAACAAAATAAATATTCCAGCTATTTTCTTTCTTTATTTTTTTAAAAAAATATGAAACTAAATTATTTTTTTTCATCATCATTTATTCTCCCTATACCCTGTTCTGCCTGTACCCACCTATAATCACTACACTGTTGTCCTGGTCAATGGGTTCTTTCTCTTTTTTTTCCTCATCTCTTCACCCATCCTCCCCACATAGTTGTCATATTTCTAACAACCAGATGTTTGGAACTATGTATACAAAACACCCGGATGATTGACTGAAAATTGAAGTATTTGTCATGGTGCTAACACAGCTTATGCTGAGGAGTGTATTTTTGAACTGCTTCACTCATCTCCCTATAAAGTAGATAATGGAGATTTTTTAAAAAAAGAAATAAAGAAAACACTTTCAAGAAAATTCATGCCATACTCAGTTAAAGGATGTATTCATTATTAAACATTTTTATTATTATTTTATTATCTATACTTACAGGGATCCTAAGCTCACTGGCTCTTAAAATGTTCCATTTAGAAATCTGGAGAGGATAAAAAGATCTGAGTTTGTTACCTAGAATCATGGCTTTATCCTGCTCTCATTAATTACATGATTATCTTTGTTTCACCAGCCTCTCCCACACACAGGAATTATTCCATCCTCAACAGGTAGAATCTCGCACCCTTGCTGATGTCCGGCTCTAAGAATACATAGCCTAGTCTATCACCACAGTTAAGAGTTCAAGCTGACTGGCTCTGTTCATGAAACCTTCCTTCCTTCCCTCCAGAATTCTTTCTTAATACAGCACACATGCCAGGCAGAATCCTGTGTATTGTAAAGGGAAAAAAATAGGGTGAATGTGGAGGTAGAGAACATAGGTGTTATCCTCAAGGAATAGATTTATTTGTTTGGCCTATTTCATGTATTTTATATAATCATCTTATAGTTGACCTTAAAATATATAAACTCTATATAAGTATCCTATGATTTTTATGAAATAGAAAGATTTGCTACTTCCAATTTATGAATCCATATATAGTCGAGTTATTTAAGTTCTAACTCAGTAGTATAATTTGATAATAATTATGCAGTAATCCGAGGAAATAATACAAAAAAATGTGTTTTTTTTCTCTTCTTTTTTTCTGAGCCTCATTTGAGGATTTTTCTAATGTATGTCTTCAAAAGCTTTGAGTTGGGACCAATAGAAATTATGAAATATAGTTACCTAAACCCAGAGGACATAAGGGCTCATATTTTCACTTTCACAGTAGAACATAACTTCTATTCTTCCTGATGGTCCCTGAAATGCCAGAACAGAGGAACAGTGCTTATGTTAAGACTAGAAGTTACAACCCAGATCAGGTCTATGAAAGCACTCGTGTTTATAGGCTAGTTAATCTCTGTGGTTCTCTCATACCCCCCACATAAAGGAAAAGCTGCTTCTGCCTCTAGGGAGAGGGAAATGCAGAGCAGAGTGTTCAAAATCAGACTTTCATGGTCAAATATCCATTAATAATCAATGTTCTGCTTCCTTTAGAATAGGACAGGTTAAGTAGTCGGTCATATTCAGTAAATAAGAAATTACTTGCAGTAATATCTGCAACATTCTAATCATCTTCCCATTTCTGAAACCTATTTGAAAAGTCTTTGATCTGCATGCATGATGGTGTAAAGGGCATTGGATGCAGAAATATTCAACTCAATTATATATTCAACTTTGCCACTCACTACTGGTGTGGCTAGGACAAGTCTTATAACCAAAGCATTCCAGTTATTTCCTGGTGATGAATTAGACATAGCAATCCATACACCACAGGGTTGTGATGAGCACCAGATACTGTGTGAAGCCCATGAATGGAGAGGTCACACAATAAACTTCACAAATCCAGATGGTGAATACAAACGTTGGAATTATCGCAACCCTGGTAGTGGTATGTTAGTATTGTACCCAAAAGTATAAATGCGATCTTGTGAAATGGAAATAGGCATCCTCTATCTTCTTTCTGCATATTTAAAAGAATAGAAATACACTATAGTTGTTTAATTATATCATTAAAGCGGGCTTTATTTTCTTCATTACATATATAAAGAAAAACTTTTCAATGAACAGTGACCTTCATGCAAACTATTTCGATGTGTGTGTATTTTCATTCTGTAGCTGCGCTTTGTACTCATTTAAGAGAACCAGTCTTTAATTTGTATCAGAATGTTTTCCAGATGAAACAGAATTCCAGGCCTCAGCAAAATCACTGACATATGACCAGAGCCTTCTGTTCTAAGTCTTGATGTGCCCGACTTCTATCAGATTCAAAGCTATATAGTTGAATCTTGTTACAGAGTACAACTTTGAATAAATGGCTTCAAATTTGGCCTCAAAATCTACTGTCATCATGCTTACTATCATCATCCTCTGGTTCCAGTTAACCGTTCCAGTTGCCTCTCTCATCTTTCCCTTATAGCCCATGCTTATGTGTACATCCTGGGAATGCCTGTTTCTCTCACCTTTCCCTGGTGTTGCCCACGTATAGCACCTCTGTCTATAAGGCTACGTCTTCCACTTCTCACTGCTTTAGCTCGGGCATTTCCTATCCTATCCTATTTCAGAAAGCCATTTTCTATACCCCAACACCCTTACTGAGTCAACTAACCCTCTTTTGTCTCTCATGGGCCTTAGCTTGAATTAATAACATTATTTTTTATTAATGGACAGTTTTAACTACATTGTTTGGTTGTCTTCCTTACTAGACTAAACATTTAGAAGAGCAAGGGTAACATCGTTTTTTAACCCATAAGTAGTAGATGATTCATAAATGTTTATTGAACAAATGAATGCTACCTGGAAAAGCTGCTGGTCGGTTCATTGAAACGGCAGCAAAAATTTGCTATTAAAATTGCTACATTTAATTACAGCAGCAATATTATCAGTGAAATGCAGTTTATAATTTTAGTGTGCAAACTTACCACTCTGAAAATGCAGGAGATTTTAAAATTAAACATGTATATGGTACTATTCTATGCTTTGCTTTCTGCATCTGGTACATTATATTCAGAATTGGATTGGATTGGATTGAAAGAGGCTGACTCGTACACCTTTCCTACTTATTATTCCAAAGAACAGAATGTGTTTTAATGTCAGAAATTGTTACATGAACTAATTTAGCCTTATTAAATTTACTTGTCACACAGAAAGAATGAAAACTGATTTTGACTGGCTTTCAATGAAAACACACGCACACATGCTCTCACAAAACAAAACTGTATGCAGGTATTGCTTCACATTTGTATTGGGAATGGAGACCTACCAGTGTGTTCATGTTTCCCGTGTTTATGTCTGATGTTAGGAGGTGATGAAGTGCTATAATTCATCAGATGAGAATACAGTCAGAACAAAGGTAATGTCTCTCATTTTCATTTGATTAATAGTGTTCTGTCTCTGGTAATTTGTAGGTGTTATTTGGAAGATGGAGCTTCAAAGGGTGCCTGGCTGAACCGGTCAAGTATTATTTTTGCGGGAGGTGATAAGTGGTCCGTGGATCCTCGAGTTTCAATTTCAACATTGAATAAAAGGGACTACAGCCTCCAGATACAAAATGTGGATGTGACAGATGATGGCCCATACACGTGCTCTGTTCAGACTCAACATACGCCGAGAACAATGCAGGTGCATCTAACTGTGCAAGGTATGCATTTCCATAACTGCTCTACTGCGAGGGACTCTGCTTAGAAATGTTCAATCTTTATATTTTATTTTTTAAATATATTTTTATTGATTTCAGGGAGGAAGGAAGAGGGAGAGAAAGATAGAAACATCCATGATAAGAGAGAATTATGGATCGGCTGCCTCCTTCAAGTCCCTCACTGGGGATTGAGCCCACAACCTGGGCATGTGCCCTTGACTGGAATCGAACCTGGGACCTTTCAGTTTGCAGGCCGATGCTCTGCCCACTGAGCCAAACCAGCTAGGGCAGAAATGTTCAATCTTTAGATAGCAAAATTATTCAGAAGTAACTGACAATGTTGAAAGACATGTGGTCATAGTCTTCAGGGATTTATGTTCCTAGGTTCCATAAAGTATAATGGGCATTATAGTCATATGAATCACCACAAACCAAGATAAAATCAATTCACATCACATGGTGGTTTTTTGTGTATGATTCACTTCTTATCTTCCTTTGAGTTACCCCTTCAATAAATCTTTATCTTTGAGAACCCATGATTGATACATTAAAATAAATATCTGATAACCCATGAGGGATACATTAAAATATTAGAACTTTTTAAAATATGGAGAATAACTCTTTAAAAGTAATTCTACAGGTTTCCAACATTCTGTCTCAATCCAATTTCTGTTTACTTTGATTAAAGTTACAATGAAAAGAAGCAGCCTTCTAGAAATACTTAATTTAAATATAGAGTAATTGAAAAAATATGGTACACAATACTTTCTACTTTGCCATACTTTCAGTAGATCATAAATCATGCTAGCTAACTTGCAATCTCCAAATACAAAAAGAATCATCAAATTATGTTATTTTTCTTGCACACTAAAATGTAAGAGCATATTTATTCTGAACACAAATGCTTCTTAAGAAAAATGAAATTATAATGCAAATAGAATGGAAAATGTATATTTTTGCCATTTACATTATTTCCTCATGCGTTTTAGATTAATCATGGTTTGGTTGCATAGAAATATTATGTTGTGGAACTCAAAATGACATTGCATCATTTCTAAGTAAAATTAATAACAAATTGTATGATAATGTGGTGCCAGTGAATACATATTTTATTCCTAACAGGAATGCTGAGTAAGCAAGTTATTTGTACTACCTTTGAGTTAACCCTTCTAATAATTTACACTACTAATAAGTGTTAATTTATGCAAGTGGCTTATATCTGGAAAATATTGTTAATCTATTTCCTTATATAAATGTAAACCTGAATTCAAATACTACTTCAACTGTTAGTAAATATTTTAACTTGTGATAAAAATTAAATTTATTAATTAAGCTATTAACTTTAAGGAAGAAAGTATAATGGAGAATTAAATCAGTGAGTTTCCTCATTGGATTTTCTTATTTTGATCATTGCTAACTGTAAGAAACCCCTCCTTTAAAAGCATGGGAGAAGATAGTACTTTTCACCAAAGCCCACCTTTATTCAGAGATTATCCAGAGATTCCAGAGGGCAGGATTTTGTCCAGCTTCAAAAACTAACATGAGGTTTTAAGTCAGAAACACATTTCTTCTGTATCGAGGCCTAATCTGATTCTCTTGTGTAGTTCAGTGCCCTCTGACTTGTGTTTCTAGCTCAGAGACTACAAAAGATTCTTATTACATAAGAAAAAGTAAACTTGGACAATAATATATTTGAGTGACTTGAGATACAAAATTTTTCCTTAAATTTAAATGATGTATTTTAGATCGTGACTATATCCCTCTTTCATTTTTTCTCATTCTTTCTTGTTCCATGTTTGGAGGAAATTTTTAAACCAGATTATGGATATATAAGCCCTGCCTAGAAACTTGTTTGATTTCCATAGGATTTCTTTATAACTTTATGTTACATAGATTGTTTAATATTATGCACATTTTAAAAGCTGTCGCACACCTTACTCTGGCATTCTTTTTTGCTGGTCATTTGATGATGGTGAACTTTTGAGTACCACTTCAGGGAATGCGTATTAGGAACACACTCATTGAATGTTTTACCAGTATTACGTTTTGTTCCTCTAGAAGAAAAATTGGTTACTATGTTGAAAGCATGTGCTTGGGACAAATTAAAAGCTAATAATTTTACATATTTATGAGCATAATTACTTATTAGAAGTTGATTGGCATGTGAGCAGTTTTCCAATTACATTAATAAAGTTCAGGGAATCCATTAATAGGCTTGTCAGTCAATTCAAGAACTAAGCAAATGTCATGAAAAGTCAAGCCTGCTTAAGCTGCATTTCCTCTCAAAGAACGGAAGTAAACTGATGTGCTCGTCTCTTCAGTCTCTGAATTTGTTCTTTTGTCTGGTGCTCAGTGTATCTGGATAGTTTTGAAGTGTATGTTCTTTGCCAAACAATTTGTTAAGCCTTTACTCACCAAGAAAAAGAAATTTAGCAGTTGAAAGAAGGGTAGTAATCACTGATGTCAAACTAACATTGGCTGATAAAAAATAAAGCTCATCTTTAATTGTTGCAACTATGTACTCAAAGAAGCTACTTAAAATCATTTTAGAAAGGGGGAATAAACGGGATATCCTGCCAAGGCTGACATTGTGCATGGGAAATTCGTTGATGCTATTGATTTATTAGAGCTATTAATATCAATAGCTCTAATGAATGGAGCAATGAGGGAGAAAAAACACTGGGATATGGGTTGGAAAACCTGGATTCAATTCTAAAATTTTCTTCATGAAGTGGGTAATTATCAAGCCTCTCTAAACTCTAATGTTCTCATTGTAAAGATGAGAACATTAGAGTCTTAAGGTCTTAAGGTCCATGGCAGTCAAAACCAAAAAGACAGATGACCAAAAAATAAATAAGTAAAAAAATCCAGTGTGATTATTAGCTTTTGATTTGAAAGGTAAAAAAGAGATTTCAGTTAAAAAAATTAAAAACATATATTCATAGCATTTGTAGAACACTTCCATTGTGCACCATACAAAACAATTTTTCAGACAGTGGCGTCTTGTATTTACTCTGCAAGTGTGCTTTATTTATCTCCATGTTTTTCTTTCACCAACTGAGCTGAACAATGCATGTACTCATGGAATTTGAAGAACGTGGTGAATTTGGGTTTTGCTTAAAGGGTTAGAAATTAGCTAACAAACTCAGTGAAAAAAATTACTTAAAAGTAATACCAGAGACCCGGTGCATGAATTCTTGCTTCAGTGAGGTCCCTCAGCCTGTCCTGCGGTATCGGGCCGAAACCGGCTCTCCGACATCCCCTGAACGGTCCTGGGTTGTGAGAGTGTGCAGGCCAGGCTGAGGGACCCCACTGGTGCATGATCAGGGCCAGGGAGGGATGTGAGAGGTTGGCCAGCCAGAGAGGGACCGCGGGAGGGCTCCAGGACGCCTGGCCCCTCTCGCTCACTCCTGATCGGGTGGACCCCAGCAGTAAGCTAACCTATTGGTTAGAGCATCTGCCCCCTGGTGGTCAGTGCACGTCATAGCAACTGGCTGACCAGTCAACTGTCTGCCCCCTAGTGGTCAATGCATGTCATAGTGAGCGGTTGAGCAGCCTTAGCATATCATTAGCATACTAGTATTACTCTTTGATTGGTTGAACAGTCAACTGGACGACTGGACACTTACCATATTAGGCTTTTATTATATAGGATGTTGCTAATAAACCAAGTTACCTAATTGTTCAGTGATGGATGGTGTGCTATACTTCTCTTTACAAGGATGGGCTTGCAAGGTGTCAAGCAAATGACATCAGCAAATGGTATTTAATGGTCAACCCTTTTGAAGGTAGCCAAGAGAACCACCTTGCCCAAAGTCAACCTCTGCCTAGAACAACCAGTATCTGATGACTGATTGAGCATGAAACATAAAGGCCCCTCTCTTTCAGCCTAAGGAATGTGACTCTGATGGGTCATTTGGCTGTAGGCAGCTGAAGCTGTTGAGCAGTATGTACTGCAGTTTATCATCTTGCTCTGTTCAATCCCACTTTCTTCCTTCTCCAGGGATTTATCACAAGGATATCCTTTAATAAATATCCTGTACTGTCAACTCCATCTCATTTTATTGTTCACTTCCCAAAGACCCTAAACTATGACTATGTTAGATCCTTGCCTTAGGCTTACTCATTGTTTTGAGAAAGGCTTTGTAGAGTGGAAAGAAAATGCATTCAAACATAAATTATTATTAACAGTCTGTTTTATATCAGAAGGGATTTAAAGCAGCTTTTAAAGAAGTATTTAGTAAATCAAGATAAATAGGAGAAATCTGAAGCAAATGATAAGGTTAGATCATAACATTTGTAACATGATTTCTATATATGTTTGAAGCCTGGTAAAAAAATAATTCTAAGATTTATAGCAGCTGACCCAACAAGAGAAACAGGATCAGTTATTCATTTCATGGTCCATAAGGTCAAAACTTATAGTTCTTATTTCCTTGATCCTGTTACTCAGAATGGAGAAGGATTTCCACTGAGTCATCTCAGAATATCACTGCGAGCTATGAAGAACAACTCAGCAGGACGTGTGTAGTTCTCACAGTACTCTTTCATAAGATTGTTCCTTATAACATGTTTCAATATAGCCCAAAGTACAGGGAAGTTAAAACATTATTAAAAAATTGAAAGATAAAATCAATAAGATGCTACTTCATCTATGAGTAAATTTTAGAACCTGTCCTTCCTGAGTCAAACATCAACAAATATTATTTCCCTTGGTGGATCTTTGAATAGGAATTTAGGTACGGATATTTCAGAATTATATTACTAATGAATATCTTGGGAGTAGTTATTCCATCTGACTACAGCATAGAGCCATATTCTGTAAAGACCAGCACATCTTAATCTGATGTTAACATCCTTTTCATGATTCATAAAGCCTGGAAAGGTTCATGCTGGAAGAGGAAGACACCACACTTCTGTTCCAAGTTGAGCTTATGGGCAATAACATGGCATCACAAGGCATAGGCCTGCCTTCCACAAAAGTTCTAAAGAAGGAAAGAGCT